AAAGATGCCAAACATAAAACACAAGAAATTCTTCAAAAACTGGTTTTGGCCAGTTACAGAAGAATCCACAAAACGGATTTCTCAATGGATTCGCACACTTTTCGCATATTTTTGGATGAGGGCACGTGCTCCACTGACGTAGCCAGCTCTCTGATGTCAGAAAGGGGCAGCCAGAGGACGACGGAGCCAAATTGATTAAATTTTACGCCTCACTCTCCGCTGCCATTGCTCATCACTTCACAGCAAGCAGATTTATTGATGAGGCAGCGCGTGTGGTGGCACTTATGATATATCTAGACATAATATATAGTAGCTATATATATATGTATGTATACATATATGGTGGCCTGATCGGGCGGAAAATTTTCAATTTGCAAAAATTCAAAAAAATTAAAAATATAAATTTGAAATATTTTGTATCAACTTGGAAAACGCTCTAGCATAGCAAACAAAAATCGAAAAAAAAAAAAACGCTTGAGTTCTACGATGTTTTCTGTTTTGAATTGAAAATAAATATATAGATATATAACATTTTCTATATATAAAACATATACACTATGGTGTATGCCATGCATAATTTGAGAAGCAAAAAATCTCTCGTCGTCTCACGTCACGATGGCTAGAAAACATTGCGCTCTGTTTTGCGTAAGCACAAAATTTTGTTTTTGCAAAAACAAATAAATATTAAATCTTAAGCCCATAAACTTAATGTTCTATACCTTATACATATACATTTTTGTATGTGCATTTGTTGTAGAAGAGCTGGCACGCGGCCTGTGACATGGTCTTTAAAATATTTTTGTATATAGAAAAAATTAGTTATACTATAATTATGAAAATATGTTTCAAATTTAGAAAACTAAAAAAAAAAAGAATTTGTAGCGTAATAATTTTTTATTTATTTATTTTTTGTTTTGTATCGAAGGTTGAGAGTTTGATGTAAGGTGGGATGAAGTGGGACATTTTAGATTGAATTAAGTATTGTAGGAGATAAATTTCGATTGGGAATACATTATAAATGTATGAACTTGAGAAAGAAACTAATTACTTCAAAGAAAATACCAAGCAAAAGTGCTAGCAACAGTCATGGGAATCTCCAAATACATATAATATAAAATATTATATCTTAGCAGATTATGTTTGCTTTGCTGTATTATATTTAGCTCTATATGCAATTTCTTTCATTATATGAATGTATATAATATAATGTGAAAATGATGCGTGACTTGGCGAGTGCCAAGATTATGTGACAGCAAGGCATATAAATTATATTAATCATACGCGCTGCTTAATACGCCAAATAACGGTTAATGCATTTATAGGAAATGTGGCAGATCTAACAAAAATAAAAGAGAATCTTAAATTAATGTTGCAGGTATACTTTTTAGTCGATTAAGCTAACTAAACATCACATGTTTAGCTATTAAATCTTAAATTTAATTTTTATCACGACGCAAAATAAAAAGTGAAGAAAAATCATTAAGCAAACAAAAAAGAAGAGAAATATTTCAAAGCGGGAAAATGGAAGGAAAATTGCATTTATTTTTAAACTAATTAATTGGCCCCACGCCAACTGCCATAAAAACGTGAATCTCTTTTTGTTTTGCAAGCGACAATAACAATATCTACATTCTTTAGCATTATGTCAAACATATATACTTATATGTACACATATGTATAGATAATTCAGATGCACATTAATATATCTAGCAAAGACTTTGCAAATTGGTTTTTCCCGTTCAAATGCCCGAGCAATAATATTTCTATGCCCAGTTCGGACAGCCTGTTTACATTATCTATCCACAACAACAACAAAAACCATCAAAAACTAAGAAATATTTAAATTCAAAATCAAAATCAAGGCCAATGTCGTCAGCGGATAAGAGTTGCTTCCACTAATGGATTGGATGGGTTGATTTGCCGATTGGCTCGATTGCAATTCCAATCGCAATTGGCATTAATGCATTTTGGCATTTTGACAAAATATTACCAAGCGGCAGATTCAATAAAAACAATAAATAAAGCGGAAATTCAGAGACAGAAAATATTTGGGAAATACCCTGTAGTCAAGGACAGGAAACTTCATTCTTTTCATGGGTATTAAAATTCCCAAGGAGAACAATAATTTATTATATACTTTTATAAATTCAGATATAGGGATAAGGTCATAGAATATTGGAAATTCATTTTGGTTTATATTGGAAAGCAAGTATAGTTCGAGCCTGATACATGCTTAGTCTTAATAGCTCTCCCGCTCTTTTCTTGATGAAGGGTATGCTGTCAACCCATAATCAAAGCACTTTATCGCTTGGCATTGCAAATGTAGTGTAAATGTAAAATTTAATTGCCTTTGATGTGTCATAAAAATAGAATCGATTTTTTCCATTTGCCGTTTAATCAAATTTCTATAAACGCAAATGGAATTTTCTTTTAGCTGTCCACATACACTGGAAAAAATCAATTTGAAGCAAATGTTGTCATTCTTTAATGTAGGTCAATGGATTGTATAACCCTTATTATCAGCACATTTCGTTTTTCTAGTGATAAGCAATAATTGTTAATTACATTGCCAACTTTTAAAGAGTTGCAGCAAAGGCAAGAAAATTCACCAAAAGCGAAAAATAAATAAAATTTTCTTAAATAAAAGTAAAATAAAAATTCGCATAAAATTCAAGCTTCAGTTAAAAGTTTTTTGTTTGTAAATTGCAATTTTTAATTTGCCATATATAAACAATAAGCACAAACACACACGCGTGCACGCATTTCACAGACTGTCGAAAATAAAAGCATATTGAATAAACAACAACAAGGAAACTCAGTTGAGCGTAGCGAAAACAATTTTTGAAAAACTTTTCAATATTTCGTAATGCCTAAACTGCCAAAGAGAAGGGTCAAGTTATGTAAGAGACATAATTTGTAGTTTTAATTGGTATACAATAGATATGTAGTATTTGCCATTGACAAAATATAAATACATATACATATATTAGATATATAAGAAATATTTTTTATAAGGCTTTGATAATAAAATATATATTCTTTTAATACAGAGGGAATACCAAACATTGCTATTCCAATTTTATTTTCTATAAGTTTGCAAACCTATTTTATCCAAATTTATATTTTTAATATTTTACAAATTTGTGACTTGTTCTTAAATGATAATTCGAATAAAATAATTAGACGCTTATTCACAGACTTTTTTATATTTAAAGCGAGTTGTTAACATAATTTATAACACAGCCTTCGGGTACTTTTTCTCAACACGTAGATATAATTTTCAGCTTGCGTGTTATAATAGTACAAAAATAACATTATTAAAACAGCTTGATAGAAGAAAAAAATGAACAACACCAAAAACAGAGACAAACATTAAAAAATAATCCAAATCGAGTGTAGAGTACAATGTTGCGTACATGAAATCCACTCGAACAGTTCGGTCAGGCCAATTGGCCGGTTTGTTCAGTTTTCAGTGGCAAATTATTTCGATGATCGTTCATAAAGTTTAGTAGGGTATATTGGTTTTGATTTGGTTGCTTTGAATGACAAATAGATTCAAATTGCATAAAATTTTATTTTATGTAAGAAAAAAAACGTTGGAGATATTTATATATATTTATAGCATTTGTAAATAGTGATTTCAAATAAAAATGTTGTAATCGAACTATAAGCGCGTACCGTGCAGTATAATCCCAAATTCAGAATTTTTGTTTAAAATTGGGATCTGGCCATATTAGCCAGTAATTATTACAAATGCCTATATTTAATTCAATTTATTTTGGCTTGCACGAATTTCGTTTGTTTTTCAATTTGTTGTTTTTGTATTTCTGTTGGTGTTTGTGTTTATTGATTAATGTATTTTGGTACGCGGCATAGCGCAAACAAATAATCTTTCACGAAATGCATAAATTAATATTATACTCAAAATTCGCATTTCAGGAAAAACACGTGTGTCTCGACTTCAATATACAAAAAATATCATATATGTATAGGAAAGTATATATATATATTTCTGATTATGCTTATATTTTTTATCGCGTGGGTGCGTGGTAGTTGTTCACGTTCGGCCTTTGCTTATTTTAATTTTAATATTTATTGCAAAAGGAGCTCATTAAAAGGCGAGCACGCACATATTTTCAGCGCTTTTGCACCTGTTCGTTCAGTTTTATAATGTACATAAATCATTATTGTTGTTGTTTATTTATTCAAGAGCACTCAAATGCGTTTGTTTATTTCGAAAAGACTCAAATTGATGACCGGAAAATGTACCCAATTTCCAATTCTTCTAATTTGCACAGGTTTCAGTTCAATTAGAAATATGTTTTGTTGGCACAATATACAATATATAATACAATTTCTAAAGATATTAGAAAGGAAATGATTTAAGAAACTGAGAGCTGAGTAGATAATATTATTATTGGCAAAATTATATTTATTTAATTTAGTTTAAATAAAAATAAAACATATAAAATATAAATATAGTTGAGATGTTCCTCATTCTGCTTAAGTTAAATATCTTACATACATATATAGTTTTTACACTACATTTTACTCACTATATAAAAGTAACTTCTCTCTAAATATTATTAATAATCATTTCATGAACTCACCAGTTTGCTTTGGTAGATTATAGAAATCGAGTGTTTTGATTTCAGATGTTTCCACATGCGGAGCAAATCCCTCATATAGATCACTCTCCTCGACAATGCCGCTCAGCTTATCGGCCTGAGCCGATGTGTCGGCACGATGATAGGGCATTTTCTTAGCCAGCTTTGACTCTTTAGCTGTCTCTGGTTACTTGAGAGCTGTCGTTGCTCGTGTTTTCTTAGCAAATAGTTGTGGCTTTTAGTGTGTGGGTGTGGTAGTAGGATATCCAAGACTTATTTTTGCAGTATTCCTTTTTTTTTTGTGACTAGATCAACAGTTGTTGGTGATTTTATTGTTGTTGTTGGGTTTTTGTGGGGTTATCGTTCTTATTGCGGCTTAGCTATGTGCATTTATGGAGACAGAAATACTCCAATACGATGATGTCGCGCCGAATTCATTATAATGAACGATTTAAAACGAATACTGCAAGAGCATAGTGGAGCAAAACGTAAAAGAGCGACACTTCAGAGTCTGCAAAAGATAAGATAAGAGATTATATGATGTTAGTCAATTAAAAAAGTATTTAATTAAATAATATATATGTATGTATTTATTTTACTTTTCAACAGATTTAGTGAAAAACTCTGGGGCAAGTCAAACTAAAATTCGTTAAGGGCATTTAATTTACTCAGTCGGCGTTTCTCTACTCCTTGGCCAACTTGAAAGCCATGCTGGCTGCTGAGCTAAATGCCAGCATTTATCAGTTTCTTTTATATTTTTTTTGTTTATTATAATTTTAATGTTTGGCATTCCGCGCTACGGCAAATAAACAAATTCTGTGTAATCCAATCAACTGCCATCACTCAGATATATTCTATGCATATATATTTGTGTAGAGTTACATGGTATTATTGTATATATTTATTTATACATATGTAAAGTCCTTGTTACTCAGAGCGGCGCAAAGATGAATATGGAATGACTGGTTCAATGACACGCATGAAAAACAACATGGAACATTTTCAATTCATTTGGGCCAGCAACCACGAAAAATAATTCCAATTGTAGACAAGGCGTCAGGCGCCTCTGGGCCATAAAATACATGAAACGGCATTAAATGCCAACAGCAATAAAAATCTCAACTGGCCAGAAGGAGAGATAGAGAGAGAGAGAGAACTGGGAGTAAACTGTGCGGGATATACAGCAGGGAAGTACTTAAAAGGCTCCCAAATGTCGCCGTCGTCAGCGAGATAAACCGATTCTTGGTAAATTGCCGGTTTTAATTTTGTATCGTATCGTGTCGATATCTAATTAATATTTGCCAAACTGGAAACAGCACAGATATATCTCGATTGCCCACAAAAAATACACAAAATGTATTTAAATTGAAAAAAAAAAATACATACATATATGAAATAATTGTTTATCTGAGCTGGGCCAGCAATATGTTTGCATTGGCTAAAAAAAATCAATTTTAACCTAATTATTGTAGCAAAAAAACAGTTTTTATTTTGTGCTGAAATGAAGTACATTAACTATATATAATTCAACAATTAAGTTTAGGCACGTTTCGTTTAGACTGTAAAATATATGCATTCAAAATACCTGTATATGAATTATATTTAAATAAATATATAATACATAATCTACATTTAAGAGGTAGAAAATTCGAATTATTTTTCATACATGATATATGTATTTATTCATGAATATATTTGCACACTGCCCGCTGCATCTGTAATTTTCACACAGTTAGCACACTAATTTGGCATGAATATCTATTTAAATTGGACTGTATGCATCATTTAACTTGAATTATAATTAATGAAATTTGATAGTAATCAAATTCTATGCAAGTGCCAAACACTCCAAATGTTTCTCACACACGCTGTGTATGCTTATTAGGCAGCAGCACGCTGCATTGGCAGCTCAAGCCAAGCATAAATAACCGAACAAAAATTAAATAATAAAAAAAAAAATACGATATAGTTTAGTTAAAATATTTTTGTTTTCTGTTATTTTCTTTTGTTATCGTAATTCTTTAAATGCTTTCATTTCATCGCCTGCAAATGGCAGTGCATGCTAAATAGCTGAGCGTAGGCAGCCTAGCCCCCCTTCCTTCCCTTCCTCCCCCCGTTTGCCACGCCCACTCGGCCTGCGAGTAGCAACAAAAACGAAATGCGAAAATTGAATTGCAAATTTCAATTGAAATTCTGCGCACGTATCAAAAACGACAAAGCCCACAACAACAACAACAACAACAACAACAACAGCAAATGAAAATACGAGAGATCACCAACAAATACTTCTTTTAGTTTCATTTGACACTTTTAATGATTTCGCCTGTCAGCAACAGCATTTAGTGCAAAGGGGGCGAGGGGCGTGGCAGTGACGAATTGAACTAGACAGACGTGTCTGATAGATCGTTGCGTTCGCGTTTACTTGACACGAGGTGTTGGGCGCACAGAATGTGAGCGAGACAGCTGGCTGTCAATCGAGCACACATTTATCGTAAAACAATCGATAAGGGTAGTGCTGCGGGTGGGGGTGGAGCTGGGCGGTGTGAGAACAATAAACAATTGATATTTATTAAATGTGCAAATGCAAATTATCATGTAAATGGTAGTTGTCCATGTTTGCTATCTGAATATTGATAAAGTAGGCAAATATTCAGAGATGTATTACGAAAATATCACTGAAATATCGATAGTTATCGAAATTGACCAAAAAATCTTTTAAAAACCCAACTTATTAATAACCCCACTATGTTTAGCTAATTAAGCGATAATATTGCCTTACATACTCCAAGATAAGTTAATTATACAGATAAACAAAAACTATTTAAAGAATTTATATATATTTGCTGGAATCACAATTTTTCAGTAATTATTTATTGTGAGCTATTTGGGGCAATTAGAAATTTGCTTATGGCTTGGCCAGCTTATCAAGAGGGTCATAGCCTCAATATCAAACTGATAAAGAAACACACAAAAAAAAAAGGTCCCAAGTGGAGATCGCCATTCATGTTTAATTGCCGTACAGTAAAGCCTCATTGGTTGGTAGTGGACGCATTTTGCGCTTAAGTATATAATTTAATTTGAATCCATGTGCAAATTTCATATATGTATGTCAATATTATGCTAGTTTCGCATTTCAAGGTGCCTCAATGCTCAATTTGAGACTGTGGCAAAACAACAACTACCAATAGGTGAGCGAGAGCAAGAAAGAGAAGGAGAGGGAGAGAGCAAGAACTAATTGAGTATAATATTATTACAGCAAAAAATGTTTACATATCGATTTTGTTTATTTTACTTTGTGAGACATTTGTTGACTCGACGATTGCAATTGGCAAATATCAACGTTATCAACTCGCAAATGTTGCAGCTTATTTAAGCAAATCAAATCAAGTCAAATCAGTGCTCAGGCAGGCTTAGCAACTTTGAACGAATGCCGCAAGTCAATTGAATTCAATTGGACAACACACACACACACAGAAAAAACAACGACCAACAGAAACAACAGAGTAATAAAAAACAAGTAAGAAAACTCTAGTCGAGAGTGCTCGACTAGATACTACCCTGAACCAAAATAATAGAAAAGCACATTTAGTATGGTTCAAATTTCAATTTCGATGTATTT